TTTTGTTTTAACCTTTTATTTAGGTCACTGATATTCTTCTTTAATCGGACGTTTGGCTGTCATGTAGCTTTTGGTTGATTGTCCTACAATGTGATTTAACTTTGTATTGTGTTGCAATTTCAAAAAACTGCACCGGTCTGACCATTTTGCTTGCCAGATGGCAGGACTTTACTGTAATCTGAGTATTGAAGTTCTTCCGTCTTTCTTTGCTCTCAGGGTCAGCTGAAGGACTGTGAACCCGAGGAAGATGGAGTTGCGGAACAGGACACTGGGGATCTGATCGGGGAAACCGATGAACAAAGTGAAAACAACGACGATGTTGATGGGTAAGAAATGACTCGTATCATCATGTTCACTGCAGCAACAAACCTTCAGTTGTCTTTGAACATCTGAGGACGGCAAACAGAATGTATCATATGCACTCTTTCAGCATTAGAGCAGTTTTGGTGACATAACTAAAATGCAAAGCAATGACATTTTCGTGTCTGAGCTGTTCTCAAAACAATGTTGCTTTTCCAGTAACAAGCCATTTTCATTTTCACTGGTATCGGGTGACAAAATGAATGTATTTCTGTGTTTTTACACAAGTCTTACAGCCGAATGAATGAGAAAATGTGCTAAAAGTCTCAAGTCTCCTGAAATGCCCTCAACTAACATTGGGATTCTTTTCTGCAAATTGTTTGGGTTAGATGATTCATTTCAATGAACGAGTTAAAAAAATAGATTCACTAATTCATTCAGTAGTACTTCATATCCTTTTAGTAGAAAAATTATTATTTTGGTAAATGCTGCTGTTTATCTACATGTTTACATTTAAATTGCAGAAATTAGGCTTTTATAGTTTTATTAATGTAAATTTACATGTTCAAGTTTGACGTATAGTCACCTGAGGGGTGCACATTGTTTTTGTGCCACATAAAAAAATATTTTATTCATCAAAGTAAATACATAACTTCAAAGTTACAATATAGTTAGTTGTTACCTTTGGACTAACCATTACACTACCGTTCAAAAGTTTGGGAGTTTTGAATTAGAAATTAAGAAGAATATAATATAATTATTCAGTAAGGATGCATTAAATTGATCAAAAGAGACAGTAAAGACATTTATAATGTTACGTGATTTCTATTTCACATTCACGCTGTTCTTTTGTACTCGCTATTCATCAAAGAAAATCAACATTGATAACAATCAGAAACGTTTCTTGAGCAGCAAATCATATTAGACTGATTCCTGAAGGATCATGTGACACTGAAGACTGGAGTAATGATGCTGAAAATCCAGCTTTGATCACAGTAATAAATTACATTTAAGCATTCATTCAGATTGAAAACAGTTATTTTAAATTGTAATACTATTTCACATTTTTACTGATTTTACAGCATTTTTTTATCAAATTAATGCAACCTTGGTGAGCACGAGAGACTTCTTTTCAAAAACATTAAAAAAATCGACCGAAAGCAACTTTTGAGCGGTATAGTCAGTGTATATTTATTCTATCAACATTCATGTCAATGATCGCTCATTTGATGAGAGGAGTTTTGTGGATGTCAGTTTTGCTCAGACTGTCTCCTAGTGGTCATGAAATGCATCAAAGATTCGTTCTCTCAGTCTAGAGTAATGTTTTAATGTGTTTTCATCTGTTCAGTCTTAGCACAGAGAGCAGAATCGGCCATGCCCTACAGAGGCTGACTCGGGTTCGACAGAGAAACACATCTACTGACTCAGACAGGCCAGACGTCCCGGATGAGGAGGAGTCACAGGCGCTACCTGTTCTTGAGGTGCATTTCCGTTTCAGTTCACTTTTTTCTTTGTTATATATTACAATAATGTAATGCAATGCATAATGTATAAATATATATATATATTATATTGTATTGTATAAAAGTGCACCTTGTGCGCCTGTCTCAATGTGTATCTGTGTATATTTCTGCATGATCAGTCTGCAGCTCCTCTGCTGGACTCCAGCGTTTTACGTTCGAAGGTTGATCTGGCAAGGAAACGAAGCATAAAGCGCTCCATGCCGACGCGTGCCGTCCGACAGAGAGGCACTCTGCCCGCGCTGACCGAGGGAACGAACCCTGACTGGAGGTTCTGCGACTCCACAGGTGGGATCATTATAGACACTATAGTTCAAATGTTTTTAAAGTAGTCTCTTCTGATCACGAATGCTGCATTTATTTGATCAAAATTACAATAAAAACAGTAATATTGTGGAATATTTTTACCATTTAAGATAGACATTTTATATCTGAATATATATTAAAATATAATTTATTCAAATGATGCAAAGCTGAATTTTCAGCATCATTACTCCAGTCTTCAGTGTCACATTGCCAGCAGCCATATCACCCTGTAGCCCAAGACTGGTCGCCCACTGAAGCTAAGCAGGGCTGAGCCTGGTTAGTACCTGGATGGGAGACCTCCTGAGAAAACCAGGTTGCTGCTGGAAGAGGTGTTAGTGAGGCCAGCAGGGGGCGCTCACCCTGTGGTCTGTGTGGGTCCTAACACCCCAGTATAGTGATGGGGACACTATACTGTCAAAGAGCACCGTCCTTCGGATGAGACGTTAAACCAAGGCCCTGACTCTCTGTGGTCATTAAAAATCCCATGGCACTTCTCGTAAAGAGTAGGGGTGTAACCCCGGTGTCCTGGCCACATTCCACCCATTGGCTCCTGCCAATCATGGCCTCCTAATAATCCCCATCCATTGAATTGGCTCTATCACTCTCTCTCCTCTCCAACTATAGCTGGTGTGTGGTGAGCGCACTGGCGCCGTTGTACTGTGGCTCCTGTCGCATCATCCAAGTGGATGCTCACACTGGTGCTGGTTGAGGAGAGAACCCCTGATATGATTGTAAAGCGCTTTGGGTGTACAGTAGTACATATGAAAGCGCTATATAAATGCCTCATTCACTCATTCATTCATTCATGATCCTTCAGAAATCATTATAATGATGATTTGCTGCTCAAGAAACATTTCTTATTATTATCAATGTTGAAAACAGTTGTCCAGCTTCATCTTTTTGTGGAAACCTTGATTTTTTCCCCTAGGGTTCTTTGAATAAAAAGTTTAAAAGAGCAGCATTGACCCCAAACTTTTTAACAGTGACGTATCAATCTATTACAGATGCAAAAGATCAGTGTTCCAATGGAGGATCAGAATCAGAAGAAGAGCCGTCCCGGGACGCCGTGTCCTCTCCTGCCCCCTGCCAGCCGAAGAGAGTCCCTATGTTTCCTGGGATGAACCCTTCAGCCCTCATGGTAGAGCACCAAACACTATATGTGCCTGCTGATGGGACCAGTATAGCTAGTTTTGTATATGTCAGGTTTTAGATGCTGGTGTCTCCATTAGGATGCTTGACCTTAAAGGGATACTCCACTTTTTTTGGAAATAGGCTCATTTTACAACTCCCCCAGAGTTAAACTGTTGAGTTTTACCGTTTTTTAATGCTCAGCCGATCTCCGGTTCTGGCGGTACCACTTTTAGCATAGCTTAGCATTTCTTTGGCGCTATAGAATTAGGCGCTTAGCTTAGCAATTCTATGGCGCTATAAGGTAACACGATGTAACCTTGCTCTCACTTGAAATGTGTCCCCCCACATTAAGTCCTTGAATTTGAGGGTGGAAAGTCCTTGAAAGGTCCGTAAATTTTAAGTTAACCAAGGTGTGGGAACCCTGCATATTGCTTATTGTTAATTCGTGTTAGCTTATTCATTAATTAATGCTAACAAATGAGACCTTATTGTAAAGTGTTACCAATATTTTTAATATTGGTTTGAGGCTGTGGTGGTAAACCAACAAGACCAGCACTAACCAGTGTAAATCAGCCTCAACTAGCATACAACTCTAGTCTCAGTCTCAGTGGTTTCAACAAGGTTGTCTTGTCTTTCTCTTCAGGCACAGCTAAAGAGGAGAAGTGGAGTGGTGGAAGCAGAAAGTCCAACAGAAGCCCAGACGCCTCCGTCGGTTCCCGCTCGCTCTCCCCGCACACCCAACATGGCCCTCGGCCCCAGAGTGCTGCCCCCTGTGGACGCCAAGGACAGCGCGTGAGTGCGACCGCAAACTGGACTCTCATTCTTTACTACATCATCTTGGAAATGAAATTGGTTATTTCAATTGAATGATCCATAATAAAACAGAGAAGTTTTATAAAAACTAATAAATAAAAAATAAGAGAGTATACTTTCAGTCTACTTTTTATGTACTTGTCAGAAATATACAGTACCTTATGTACTTAGAAATATACTTAAAATTGCACTTACATGACTTAAACTGACAAAAAAGTCTAAGTATATTTGGCCTGTACTTGTACTCAATCTTTTGATCGAGATATACATAAAAGTATAATTAATTATTCTAAGTGTACTTGACTTATAGTTGATTTATTCAATATTTTTTTCACATAGTTTAACATACTATCTTATAAACTTGCATTGTTTGAAAATATTGATTTATAAAGAAACCGGATGTTCCGAATGTGAATTTTTGTGTCCATTAGTAGTGTTTCCTAGTGTACATAGGAATTTACTTCAAATAAAGTACAGTTAAAGGTATTTAAAGTATAAAAAATAATATCTAAATAGGAACATAGTAGTGCAAAAATAAGTATGATGTTAAGTTCACTTAAAGAAAACTTTCAAGTATACTTGCAGTATAAAACTACTAAACTAGTAGTTTACTGAGAGAAGACTTTAAGGTGTACTTTCATAAACTAAATAAAAAGCGCTACAAGTACTTATCTAGTAAACTATCAGTATATCTACGTTCACTTGTAGTATAGTTGGAGTACAAATGAAAAATGTAGTTGTAAACTAGTTGTGTACTCAACGTCTACTACTGTTACACTTAAAAGTATGCTTTTATACGCTAAACAATGGGCTAGTTTAGTCCCAATTAGTATTGAAAAGGTACACTTAAAAGTATACTACTAATAGATTGATATTAGTATACTTAAGACATAAAGTATAAACTTTACTTAAGTATACTTAATAAAATTAACAACTTTAAGTACACTTATTTTTATTAGCGACCGCAGGCAAATCCAGAAACGCGCTGCAAATGACACAAAGTTCAACGTATTTATTAGATAGATAGATAGATAGATAGATAGATAGATAGATAGATAGATAGATAGATAGATAGATAGATAGATAGATAGATAGATAGATAGATAGATAGATAGATAGATAGATAGATAGATAGATAGATAGATAGATGATCTGAATTATGTTAAGTGTTAGTTATTTGTAATAATTGTGATTTATGTAAATCCAGGTCCGGCTCTTCACCCTCATGGCTGCTTGAGCTCAAATCCAAGAAGAAAATGAATCAGCCTGAAAGTGAAGCATGAATCTGTGTCGCCCAGGTGAGTGTGTGTCCAGAAATCACCCCGTCCACTCCTCTGATTCCTTTTGACGAGGGTTTTCCTGAAATCTTCCACATTATATTTGCTTCAATGTTCATTATGATTAGAGAGCACATACACTCTTAGAAGAAAAGGTTCTATATAGAACCTTAAAGGGTTCTGTCAGGTGTTTCATATATACAGTAGAACCTTTTAAGGGTTCCGGAATCAATTTATGGATTTAGTTTTAATTAATTCATTTTGTGAAATTCTTTTTTAACTTTAATTCAATGTTTTGAATTAAACAGCTTGTAAACATACTTTATCACTAGAAAAGACATTGAAATAATCCATTAAACATGAAAGTATTATGCGATCATTTCTCCTTAAAAATGAGTCAGGAACCCTAAGTTTCTATATAGAACCCCTATAGAAAGAGTGTAGGGTGGGACGTTCGTATGTCGCTCGCTTCATCCCCAGTAGAGGGGGACAAAATCCACTTTTATATCACTTTGACTTTTTAGTAATTTGGTTGCAAATGTCACTCTGCCGTCTTTCCTCACAGGTCTGATGCAGTTTGTTGAGAGGAAATCTGGAAGGAAGTCTGTTTGATGCCAAAGGAACTGACATGCGTAAATGAGAAGTGCAATGAGCCTTTCATTCTCATACTGACTGATTATCAGATATGTTTTTCAAATATGTGTCCCCGGACTAAAATGTGTGTAGGCTTTGCCAAGATGATGTCCTGTTTTGCACCTTTTTACTTTTTTAACATGAAAGTCTGCAGCATCATAATCAGCACAAGATGGATGAAAAGCATGAGCTGTTTACTATCAGTCTTGGACCAGTGGGAACCCAAGCTCATTTTGATTCTGTTTACATTTATTAATTTAGCAGGATGGTAAAACAAGCAATTAATTTGAAAGACGTTTCCTCGGTTCAAGCAGGGGCCAAAAGCGCTCGTGTCGTCTTCTGTCCATCTCTGATCGGGGAAAGCAGATATCAGTATAGCTTCATGCTACAATGCACTTTAAATGAGTCACACCACTGGAAATTGTGCCTTGAGGTCTTAGTCATTACTTTGCATTTGACCTAGATTTTTCTTTAAATCAGATTTTAAATATTGTGTTTCTAAAAGTCTGAAGATATTCATAATGGCATTGCTATATAAAACATCCTTTTTCTTTCTCTTAAATGTTTTTGTTCTGTTTACATTGTGCCATTTCTAAACATCATTTGATGGTAATTTGATCTTGTTCACTTTTATTATAATTCTTTTATTCTCTGTATTTCTACTTGAATTAAAGCTATAAGCAGTGAAGCATCGGCTAGTAATCGGGCTGATTATCATTTATTATGTTTTATTTTGCTTTGTTGCCCAGTCCGGCCAAGAACACTTTTACAAAACACAAATCTGAGTTATAATAAGCTGTGTTTTTAGTTTGAATGTTTTTCAGTCATTTCCAATGTTTGTTTATTGACTTCAGCTGTGTAAATTGCTGCTAGAAGAAAATGTTTACCTGTTTAATGTTGGGCAACGGGAGTTGTGTTTTATAAAAAATGAATTATGAATTACAATTAAGGGATATCTTCATTAAATATTTTTCTAAATGGGAAGCAAGTTTGTCTTTGTATATACCATTTGCTTATGTGTGCCAGGACTGAGATATCAGTAGATCAAGCACAGGGGTTTGAAAACCTTTCTAAAGGTGAATTTTCAGTAAGTCAGTGATAGAAAGAGAGATTCGTGTTTGGAAACCGCAGTTACAGGAAAATTAGATGGAAAGTCCCATGGGCTGTCATTAATTTTCATATACACTCACCTAAAGGATTATTAGGAACACCATACTAATACTGTGTTTGACCCCCTTTCGCCTTCAGAACTGCCTTAATTCTATGGCATTGATTCAACAAGGTGCTGAAAGCATTCTTTAGAAATGTTGGCCCATATTGATAGGATAGCATCTTGCAGTTGATGGAGATTTGTGGGATGCACATCCAGGGCACGAAGCTCCCGTTCCACCACATCCCAAAGATGCTCTATTGGGTTGAGATCTGGTGACTGTGGGGGCCATTTTAGTACAGTGAACTCATTGTCATGTTTAAGAAACCAATTTGAAATGATTCGAGCTTTGTGATATGGTGCATTATCCTGCTGGAAGTAGCCATCAGAGGATGGGTACATGGTGGCCATAAAGGGATGGACATGGTCAGAAACAATGCTCAGGTAGGCCGTGGCATTTAAACGATGCCCAATTGGCACTAAGGGGCTTAAAGTGTGCCAAGAAAACATCCCCCACACCATTACACCACCACCACCAGCCTGCACAGTGGTAACAAGGCATGATGGATCCATGTTCTCATTCTGTTTACGCCAAATTCTGACTCTACCATCTGAATGTCTCAACAGAAATCGAGACTCATCAGACCAGGCAACATTTTTCCAGTCTTCAACTGTCCAATTTTGGTGAGCTCTTGCAAAGTGTAGCCTCTTTTTCCTATTTGTAGTGGAGATGAGTGGTACCCGGTGGGGTCTTCTGCTGTTGTAGCCCATCCGCCTCAAGGTTGTGCGTGTTGTGGCTTCACAAATGCTTTGCTGCATACCTCGGTTGTAACGAGTGGTTATTTCAGTCAAAGTTGCTCTTCTATCAGCTTGAATCAGTCGGCCCATTCTCCTCTGACCTCTGGCATCAACAAGGCATTTTCGCCCACAGGACTGCCGCATACTGGATGTTTTTCCCTTTTCACACCATTCTTTGTAAACCCTAGAAATGGTTGTGCGTGAAAATCCCAATAACTGAGCAGATTGTGAAATACTCAGACCGGCCCGTCTGGCACCAACAACCATGCCACGCTCAAAATTGCTTCCCACTAAACACAATGATGTCCAAAAGACGTCTTTTCAACGTCTTTGTCACAAAAGTCGGACGTTGAAAAGACGTCCACTGAGGAGCCAGAATGAAAGTTTTTATGACGTCTTTTTTTGACGGTTTCTGAACGTCCGATATAGACGTTCATGGACCCTCTTCCTACAAGGTTAAAAACTTGTTCAAATGTGGCCATTGTGGACATATTTTTTACATAATTTATGGTCTCATTTAGACATAATTACTTTGACTATTGCTGTCAGATGATATAAGTGAGAATTAGCAGAGGTTTAGATGTTGATATTTGTTTCATTTGAAGTGTCACCATTGTGGTGATCAGTGTTTGCTTTAGTTGGGCTCTTGGTCCCCTTTATTTTTACTTTAACTTTTCTTTGGCTGCTGTAACTGTATGTTTGTTAAACACACTGTAATTTGCAACTGATGTTGCAAAGAAAGCCAAGAATAAGTAACACCAGGTGTTATCAGCTTCATGTTGATGATGATGATGAAATCATCACAAAACAAGCATATAATGTTGTCAGATACTTTGGCATTTCTAGCCGCCTACCTTGTAGAACTGCAATATTGGCACCAATAGCATTTATAATATCACTTATTTAGAGGTGGATAACAATTATGTGCATACGATGTTTAGAGCAAACATATCATGTTGTAACACACAGACATCAAGATTTTGCATATGATTCACAACAATGGTGACAAAAAAAATCATCATGCTGCAATGCATGATGGGTAGCCTTCATAGTTCAAAACTCATCATTGATTCCCAAACTTTTTTGTTTTGATTGTCACCGTTGTTGTGATTCATAGCCAAAATCTTAATGTCTGTGTGTGACTACATGATGCATTTGCTCAAAACATGTGCACATGCTTTTTATACTTTAAAAATATTTTTTATTCTATTGGCACCAATATTGCAGTTCCACAAGGTTGGTGGTTGAGAATCCCAAATATAAACACAATTTCAAACTCAACATTTGATGCTTGTTTTGTGATGATTATGTCATCATCAACATTGAGCTGAAAACACCTGATCTTACTTTTTCTTGGCTTTCTCTGCCACAACATTTGTGTCATACAAACACACAGTTACAGCAGCCAAAGAAAAGCTAAAGTAAAAATAAAGGGGACCAAGAGCCCAACTAAAGAAAACACTGATCACCACAATGGTGACACTTCAAATGAAACAAATATCAACATCTAAACCTCTGCTAATTCTCACTAAGATCGTCTGACAGCAATAGTCAAAGTAATTATGTCTAAATGAGACCATAAATGATGTAAAAAATATGTCCACAATGGCCACATTTGAACTAGTTTTTAACCTTGTACGAAGAGGGTCCATGAACGTCTATATCGGACGTGCAGAACACGTCAAAAAAAGACGTCATAAAAACTTTCATTCTGGCTCTTCAGTGAACGTCTTTTCAACGTCCGACTTTTGTGACAAAGACGTTGAAAAGACGTCTTTTGGACATCATTGTGTTTAGTGGGTTAAATCACCTTTTTTCCCATTCCGACATTCAGTTTGGAGTTCAGGAGATTGTCTTGACCAGGACCAAACCCCTAAATGCATTGAAGCAACTGCCATGTGATTGGTTGATTAGATAATTGCATTAATGAGAAATTATAATAATAATAATAATAGATTTTATTTATAACGCGCTTTTCATTCCAAAGAATCTCAAAGTGCTACATAAAAGAACAACAATAATAGCTGCAGAATACTAAGAACAATAAAAGCAATAGAACAATCAGCACATAAAAGCCTTTCTAAATAAAAAGGTCTTCAGTTCAGATTTGAAAGTATCCAGGCTCTGTACTTCTCTCAGCTCACTCGGGAGGTGGTTCCAAAGCCGAGGTGCAGCTGAGCAGAAAGCTCGGTCCCCCATAGTGCGAAGTCTAGTCACCAGTCAAAAATTGAACAGGTGTTCCTAATAATCCTTTAGGTGAGTGTATTTTCACTCACTCTAGATAATATTTTTGTGGAAAATGTCTGTATAGAAAGTGTGTGAATTACACATTTAGGTCTAGTAAGATGTCTAATAACATCTAGATGTCTAATAAACACTTTATCATTTTAATGTAGGCTACAGTGCAAGAACCATATTACATTCAAATCTAGCCCGACTACTTTTTCAGTAGGGAAGGCTAGTGTTTTAGCACAAACTTCAGCGTTTAATTTAAATGCAAGTAGCCTGAGGGTTAGATGTTGTTTTACAGTTCTATGGAGATCTGTACACCTTGTTTATGTTCATTTTTATTTATTTAAAGGTAGGCTATAGCCTACACTCTTTGTTAGGCTACTTATTTTGTTCAAAATGAACTAAATGTAAATAATAAGTCAATAACTCATGAATCCTTCTTCCAAAAACGTGTTTTTTTTTTTTTTTGTCTTATCCTGATTCACTATGGTAAGCCTGCTATAGGCCTAAGTGTTTATTTAGACCTGTCGGGATGGTTTTCGCGGGAAATTGCGTCGCCCGTGCATGTCTCATCATAGGCTATCCATAAACAAAGTAAAGTTGCTCCGGCTACTTTGACGTGTGTCTGGTGTGAGAGTGGCAGAGGTTAGTTGTAAATTGTCACAACGAGCGAGAAAGGTTGACAAGAAGCCGATAAATCTCGAAACTCGGTAATCACCCGGTTATTTTTTAACGCATTGAACAGAGGAGAGTCAGTTGGCAAAAAGAGAACACGACAGCTCAAAACGGTAATTAACTTTGGCTTTGCTTTTCGGAGATGGTGCTTTTATTACTCAACAGGTGAGTAAGGTGTTTTATTGAACAGAACAAATGCCATATAGCTCTCTAACTCTGTGCTGGGATTTATTTTCAATTTAGTAAGTGTCTATTAACGGGTAAAGATACTTAACGTCTTCAGCTAGTCAGCTTGAGAGTCTTTCCATCTCTCTTAAAGGGATACTCCACTTTTTTTTGGAAATAGGCTCATTTTACATTTTACTACGGAGCCCCCCTAGTCCAACTTTGTCAAAAAAAAATGTATTATATCTCGTGGCCTCAAGATAAGTAACTCGTGGCCTCAAGATAGTATCTCGTGGCCTCAAGATACTACCTCGTGGCCTCAAGATAGTATCTCGTGGCCTCAAGATAAGTAACTCGTGGCCTCAAGATAGTATATCGTGGCCTCAAGATATCTCGTGGCCTCAAGATATACTATCTTGAGGCCACGAGTTACTTATCTTGAGGCCACAAGTTACTATCTTGAGGCCACCAGATAGTATCTTGAGGCCACGAGTTACTATCTTGAGGCCACGAGTTACTTATCTTGAGGCCACGAGATACTATCTTGAGGCCACGAGTTACTTATCTTGAGGCCACGAGTTACTATCTTAAGGCCATGAGATAGTTATAATAATTTTTTTTGACAGAGTGGGACTAGGGGGCTCCGTATTTTACAGAGCAGCAGGCGTAATGATATGACGCAGCGCCTGAAAATAGTTCCGTTGTGTTGACGGAAGGTAGCCTATTTTTTTTAGGCGCTGCGCCATATCATTACGCCTGCTTGCTCTCATGGTACGGCAGTAAAGTTTCTTGATTATTACGCAGGAATGAGAGTATAGTTCCTAGCCATATCAGCCTAGAAAATCGCAACTTTACATTTTCTGTCGGTCTTAGTGCACGATGTAACTACAGAAGAGTCAAGTTTTAAATAGGAAAAATATCAAAACTCTTTGGTCATTTTTTTTTTTAGAAATGCTAATGGTCTTGTCCACTTCAATGATGTATGCTAAGCTATGCTAAAAGTGGTAACGTCAGAACCGGCTGAATGGATTCAAAAACGGTAAAACTCAAAAGTTTAACTCTGGGGGAGTTGTAAAATGAGCCTATTTCCAAAAAAAGTGGAGTATCCCTTTAAGCCTGTGAATGTTTTGAGCAGTGGGATGGATAACCATATTCATCCACACCGTCACAGAGCAGAAGCACAACCAAAACAATGTCCTTCAGCAAAATGCATGCAGTTTTTTTAACCGCTAGATGGCCAAAAGTTTCATGGTGTACCGTTTAATTTGTTTTATTTGCTTTTTAACAAGCCATTCAAATGATAATCTTCCAACAGCAGAATATAACAAAATCATGCACTGAAAAAGTTTATACGTACCTCAATAATTTATATTATTTCTACTTGATATAACAAATAAAAATGACTTTTGTTTGTGTAAACAAGTTAGTCAGGGAGAATTGACAGTCAATTTGCATTTCTAACCATTTCTGGACCATTATTATGAAGTTCAATAGTGCCACATGATCCTTCAGAAATCATTTTAATATGCTGATTCACTGCTCAAGAAACATTTCTAAATATTATCAATGTTAAAAACAGTTGTACAGCTTACTATTTTTGTAGAAACTGATAAAAAAATTCTTTGATGAATAGAAAGTTCAAAATAAGAAGCAGAAATATTTTGTAATATTATAATTGTCTTACTGAACCCAAACTTTTTAACGGTCATGTTACTTAAAGGTGCTCTATGGAACTTTTAGTGGCCTCTAGTGGTGATGTTTCAGATTGCAACAAGAGCGCTCGTGCTCGTGTGCGTGTGCGATCTCAGGAGCGAGCATTCACTAGTGGCCACACGGAGACTTTCAACGCAACGGAGAAAGCATCACACAACATGCTGGAAACTCATGTAAACTCCCACTGCAACGTTACAATAATAGGCTACTTTTATCAGCTTGACGTTGAACTAATGCTCCATGCTCGTACCTTGATAACGTGACATTGACTGCATTTAGCCGACATGTGATGTTATCTAGCATAGCCTACGGCATTTCACTAACTATTCGTGTATCTTTCACAATCAACAATGTCAACATAGGTGAATGTATAACGAAAACGGTTAGTGAACTAGACTGAACAATGTCAGTGTAACAGTAAGACAGTAGGAAGTAACATTACTGTACTGAAGGTGTCTGGAAATGTTTATTATAAACAATATGATAGTGGGATGAATTACGTTATAGCGTAACGATCTATAACGTAGATCTAGTACATAAAACAAGTATCCTAAAGCACCTTTTCTTATCCTGGAACAGTCTTTTGTATTCATTCCATGTCTCATGTAGTTTAGCCTACCTCGCTATTTCATTTGAGTTTACTAATAATTCAAAAGCTTTGCTGATGTTGATCCGTGTTTTCGTCCTGAGTCAATCAGAATCACGTTTGGCCTGACGAGCTTCAGCAGATAAAACTTTGTTTTGTTTTTTATATTTCTGTGGAGTTAGTGTTGGAGTGTGTGTTGTGCTGGAGGCAGGTCGTTGTTTAGTGTTATCATCAGACTCATGTCGTCAGCTGCAGTGCCGTCACATAGACTGTATATAAAAGGAGAGAGCCTCGGGAGCGCGCATGCACGTCACATCCGATGGATTTCGCGGTAAATCCGACCCGGAGACTTCACATATAAATATGAATATTGGCCTTCAGAGGTAATAGCAAAACCCGACAAGTGGATCATTGTAATGTGTGATTACAACCCCTTCACACACAGGCAATAAAAAAAGTATTCATTTTAGAAGAAAAGTTCCATATAGCACCTTTAAAAATAAAACGATTACTTGTCAATTTGAGTAAAATAATAATAAAGTAAAATGCCAAATATTTTATAATGCAAAAATAAAAAAAATCATCTGTTAAATTTACATTAAAACTTTTACTATTTACTTGTCAATTTGAGAAGTGATTTATATTTTATTTTTTAATGAATTGATTTCTTTAAGTGGCACCTGTATGCCTGGTTTCACAGACAGGGCTTAGAGATTAAGTCAGGATTAGGCCTTAGTTCAATTAAAGTAACTTTTATAAACGTATCTTAGGAAAAAACATTACTGATGTGCATCTTGAGACAAAACAATGGCACTGATATATTTTAATGTAGGTATCAGTGCAAGTTGCTTTTAGTTAAAACAGCTCAAACATGCATTTTAGACTTAAACCTTGTCTGTGAAACCGGGGGATAGTCTTCCACACATGCTTTTCTTGGGCAAACAGAGGCGGAGAGAGAGAGAGAGAGAGAGAGAGAGGGACACTGAGCAGGGTTGTGATGACAGCAGCTGATCCTGTCTGAATCCTCTTGGCTCGCTCCCTGTGGGTGCCCGCTGTACCCACGCTGGCAGCAGAGCAGGCTGGTGCTGTGGGCAACTCCTGCCAACTCTCGGCCCATTGAGAGGCAGTCTGACGGACACAAATGAGAACGACAGACTTGCTGCATCAACAGCAATCCACAGCCAACCCATTTCTGCTGCTGTGGACGGAATTAAACCATAAATACCCCCCGGGTCCCCTCCACTCACCCGACACACCCTCACCTCCACACACACTCACACTCACACACACAGAGAGAGAGTGGAGGGGTGAGAAGAACCGCTGAAGGTCACGGACAGGAGAAACAGGTAAAGATGCATTTTAAGTCTTACTTTTCATATGTATCTATTATTGTCATAAAATCTGTCTTAGGTTTATTGTTTGAATATCTAATGAATTGTCCTAGAATTTATTATAGAAATTGGCATAAAAGAGGAGACAACTATTTTTTTCAGAGAGCACGATTTATAGATTTTTCTTTATGAGAAACAGGGATGTGGTCTTCTTGATCTTCTTGAACTTTTATTGCTAAAACAAGAAAGTGTCCAAAATCCTTTTTGACTTAATTTTCAACACTAGATATATAGTTTCATAAAACCTAACACGCATCTTTTTTTTTGCATTAAAAGCATCTTTCTTCAAAATAAATGGCACATGTTTGTGATGTTTTATGATCTTTTGATGGTTTTGTTTTGTTTTATTTTTACATTTTTTTGTCTGTTTTGTTTTGTTTTGCAAACATCCGTGCAATGAACATAATCATCTGTGTTGAATTGCATTCCTTTTGGATTTTTTTTCAGTCATTTTTCAATGTTTGTTAAACCTCAGCTTGCACCTCTTTGTAAAACAAAATGCCACTTTTGATGTTTTATCATCTTAGTTTTGTTTTGTTAAGAACACTTTTGCAAACAAATGCGTGCAATGAACATAATTATCGGTGTTTAATCGTGTTCCTTTTGGATATTTTTCAGTCATTTATTTTTCAATGTTTGTTAAACCTCAGCTGTGTTAATTGCGAGAAAAATGTTAACCTAATTAATGTTGGGCAATATGAATTGTGGTTTATAAAAATTATTGTTCTTATGAATTAGATTTTTTTTTTTTTTGCATTAATAGAATGCTTATGCATCTTTCTTCAAAATAAATGCCACTCGTTTTGATATTTTGTTTCGATATTATCCAATGCCATTCATGTAGTGTCCAACTATCTGCCCACTGAAGATCTAATCTCATATATTTTCTCTATATAACATCTGGTTTGATTTACTTGCTGTTTCTCGTCTCCGTGTTTTTGTGTTTGACAGACAGAGAGATGTCGGATCAGCAGGGACTCCCAGATCAGCAAGTTGCTGGGAAGAGCCAAGGAGGAGCAGGAGCAGTTTACAAGGTCCAAATATACACATTTATACCGTTAATATTCACAGAGGATATTTTGCTCAGAAATTGCTCTTTTATATCTTATGTGTACAGTATCAACTTTCACACATTATTGAGCTATAAATGAATGTGGAGCATCTCACATATCTTCACATTTGATGAGAAATATTTGAGTTTACACTGAGATCTCTAACTTTTGATGGTGTAGCAATAATTTGGGACATTATTGAGATCTCTTCTGACACGGTAGAGGAGACATGTGAGATTACATGTGAGAAGTTCTGAGAAGCTGGACACTTAAGCAAACGTCTCTGTTTGGTTTATATTTGATCTCATTGCTGCCTATAGGAGAAACAATTGAGATGTTAAAGAGATCTCATTTGTGAGTTGTTTCCCCTACGAAAACTGTACCTGTTCCATTAGTTAACGTAAATGCTTTAACTAACATTAACTAACAATGAGCAATACAATTTTTACAGTATTATAGGCTAATGTTGTGTTACCTGTTAACAAATGGAACCTGATCGTAAAGTGTTAGCGATCTAATGCAGCAATGTCTGTTTTATGAAGATCTTCCCTGTAATGGTGCAAATATTTAGGATTTGATCAGATCCGTGATCTATTGCTCAGCCGTATAATCTAAAATATTGAACTGAGGCTATATATATATATATTAAAAAAAAACCCGGCAAAATGGCCTCATTCATGAAACAAGAAAAGAACCCATTTCTTTATTGAAATGATTGTGACAATTTGTATAAATGGTTTTACATGTAAATGCTGAAACCCAAACAGTTTATGACTTAAAATGTATTGAATTATCTTAACAGGTCTCACTGTATGAATTTGAGAACTTCCGAGGGAAAAAGGTCGAGCTGTCAGCAGAATGCAAGGACTTGATTGAGAAGAACTTGGAAAAAGTTGGATCAATCATAGTTGAGTCTTGCCCGTGAGTACAGTACATCTTCTCTATTGTCTGTCTGGGCAACTCTGGCTCCACAGATCCACTTTCCCTGATCAAACTCACATGAACAAGCTCATCCAGGTCTCCGGATTGCTAGAAAGCTCCAGTCAGGTGAGTTTGATCAGGGAAAGTGGATCTTGAAGCCCTAGCCCTGGTCTAACCTCTAGTCCACCGCTTTGATTCTTAAAGGTACAGGTCACCAAAAGAACATGTGAAGAATTTTTACAAGGTTCTTCAAAGCAAAGGTGTAAATATATCCAAATATTCAAAATGTGGAAGAGAGGGTTTTCAGTGCACAGCACACGTTCACAAGTTTCAGTCTGTTGTGCTTGCAAATGATAGCATATATGGATTCAGAAGGTATGATTATATCATACGACTCAAATAAACGATTTATATCAGTGCTTCTCATGCAAGCTGCAGGATGACTTAAAATATCATTGTTATGTTTTAATTCAAATATAAAATTCAAATCATTTAAATATAAAATAGATAATTATATTAATATAATTTATATTAATATTATAAATAATAAGTTAAAACAATCTAAAGGTGTGAAGTGAAAGCATATTTTTTGCTATTACTGTTGTTTTTGCTTAAGAACATACAGTTCCTTACAATTCTGGAATCACAAAATGAATTGTCATAAATTAATTTACCTAAATTGACAGTTTACAGAACAAACGCTCAATGTAATATATAGTTATTGTTCTGTTAATATTACATTACATTACCACTGTTATAATTATATATGTTTTATTTGTCTACCTCTGGGTTATTATTGTTAACTAAACTAAAAACATTTTCATTACTTGAAAAATAAAATGTAAAAAAAAAACTTAAAATTATTTTATTTCAGCCAGTTTCCAAAGCAATACTTCTCATTTTCATTTAGTTACAACTAACATTGCAAAAATAATTTTTTGTTGTGTTTCCCAGTATACATATCTAAACATTCTTAAATCAAAATACATTTACATGAGTAGCAAAATGACTTGTCTTGTTTAATGAAAAATGCATCAAAATTAAGTTGGTTTATGCTTAAAACAGGATAAAAAATAAATGGTAATGGGGTCAGAAAAATAATCCTGTTTCCCCTTTGAATTAAGTTTACATTTTTGACCCCATATTTGTTTCTTGTTTTCAAAATCTCACTTAACTTTGATTCTTTTTTCAGAAAACAAGACTTAATATCTCAAGTCATTTTTCCTTCTCATGTAAATGTTGGTTTAAGAATGTTTAGATATTTGCAGTGAAAACAAGACAAAATTTTCATTTTTAGCAGTGAAAAAACTAAAACAGAATAAAAACTATACTCTAGAGTCTAGACATACAACACACAACAAAATTACTAAGACTTTAACTACAATTAAAATTAAAGCAGAAAATTTTAAAATAATATCTAATTCAAAATATATAGTATATCAATGATACTAATATAACACTGGTTTACTTGCATGTCATGTGATTAGAAAATTGTGAACATGCAAATGTGTTGTTAAATATTCACTTTTATATTCTACTTTATTTTAGGTCAAACGGGTTCGGCTGACAAAAAAGTTTGGGAACCCCCGCTTTAATCAATAGGAATTGTCCATTTATCCATCATGATAGCTTGTCTGTGAATGTGTTCTTGTCATAGATGGGTCGCCTTTGAGCAGAAAGGCTTTCTGGGAGAGCAGTTTGTTTTGGAGAAAGGAGAATATCCTCGCTGGACCACCTGGACCAACAGCCAGAGGAGCTACTGTCTCCTGTCCATCAGACCTCTGAGAGTGGTGAGAGACATGTTCACACTCACACACACACACACACACACACACACACACTCCTAAAGATCTGAGCTACTGTCCATCAGACCCCTGAGAGTGGTGAGAGACACGTTCACGTTCACATACACACACTCCTAAAGATCTGAGCTACTGTCTCCTGTCCATCAGACCCCTGAGAGTGGTGGGAGACACGTTCACACTCACACACACACACACACACACTCCTAAAGATCTGAGCTACTGTCTCCTGTCCATCAGACCCACGAGAGTGGTGAGAGACACGTTCACACTCACACACACACACACACACACTCCTAAAGATCTGAGCTACTGTCTCCTGTCCATCAGACCCACGAGAGTGGTGGGAGACACGTTCACACTCACACACACACACACACACACTCCTAAAGATCTGAGCTACTGTCTCCTGTCCATCAGACCCACGAGAGTGGTGAGAGACACGTTCACACTCACACACACACACACTCCTAAAGATCTGAGCTACTGTCTCCTGTCCATCAGACCCCTGAGAGTGGTGGGAGACACGTTCACACTCACACACACACACTCCTAAAGATCTGAGCTACTGTCTCCTGTCCATCAGACCCACGAGAGTGGTGGGAGACACGTTCACACTCACACACACACACTCCTAAAGATCTGAGCTACTGTCTCCTGTCCATCAGACCTCTGAGAGTGGTGGGAGACACGTTCACACTCACACACACACACTCCTAAAGATCTGAGCTACTGTCCATCAGACCTCTGAGAGTGGTGAGAGACACGTTCACACTCACACACACACACTCCTAAAGATCTGAGCTACTGTCTCCTGTCCATCAGACCCACGAGAGTGGTGGGAGACACGTTCACACTCACACACACACACTCCTAAAGATCTGAGCTACTGTCTCCTGTCCATCAGACCTCTGAGAGTGGTGGGAGACACGTTCACACTCACATACACACACTCCTAAAGATCTGAGCTACTGTCTCCTGTCCATCAGACCTCTGAGAGTGGTGGGAGACACGTTCACACTCACACACACACACTCCTAAAGATCTGAGCTACTGTCCATCAGACCTCTGAGAGTGGTGAGAGACACGTTCACACTCACACACACACACTCCTAAAGATCTGAGCTACTGTCTCCTGTCCATCAGACCCACGAGAGTGGTGGGAGACACGTTCACACTCACACACACACACTCCTAAAGATCTGAGCTACTGTCTCCTGTCCATCAGACCTCTGAGAGTGGTGGGAGACACGTTCACACTCACATACACACACTCCTAAAGATCTGAGCTACTGTCTCCTGTCCATCAGACCTCTGAGAGTGGTGGGAGACACGTTCACACTCACACACACACACTCCTAAAGATCTGAGCTACTGTCTCCTGTCCATCAGACCTCTGAGAGTGGTGGGAGACACGTTCACACTCACATACACACACTCCTAAAGATCTGAGCTACTGTCTCCTGTCCATCAGACCTCTGAGAGTGGTGGGAGACACGTTCACACTCACACACACACACTCCTAAAGATCTGAGCTACTGTCTCCTGTCCATCAGACCCCTGAGAGTGGTTAGACACGTTCACACTCACACACACACACTCCTAAAGATCTGAGCTACTGTCTCCTGTCCATCAGACCTCTGAGAGTGGTGGGAGACACGTTCACACTCACATACACACACTCCTAAAGATCTGAGCTACTGTCTCCTGTCCATCAGACCCACGAGAGTGGTGGGAGACACGTTCACACTCACACACACACACTCCTAAAGATCTGAGCTACTGTCTCCTGTCCATCAGACCCCTGAGAGTGGTGGGAGACACGTTCACACTCACACACACACACTCCTAAAGATCTGAGCTACTGTCTCCTGTCCATCAGACCCCTGAGAGTGGTGAGAGACACGTTCACACTCACACACACACACTCCTAAAGATCTGAGCTACTGTCTCCTGTCCATCAGACCCACGAGAGTGGTGGGAGACACGTTCACACTCACACACACACTCCTAAAGATCTGAGCTACTGTCTCCTGTCCATCAGACCTCTGAGAGTGGTGGGAGACACGTTCACACTCACACACACACACACTCCTAAAGATCTGAGCTACTGTCTCCTGTCCATCAGACCTCTGAGAGTGGTGGGAGACACGTTCACACTCACACACACACACTCCTAAAGATCTGAGCTACTGTCCATCAGACCTCTGAGAGTGGTGAGAGACACGTTCACACTCACACACACACACTCCTAAAGATCTTAGCTACTGTCAATCAGACCTCTGAGAGTGTTGGGAGACACGTTCACACTCACATACACACACTCCTAAAGATCTGAGCTTCTGTCACGCTTCACTGAGTCTTGTGTTTGTGGTCTATTACCAGGACAGCGCCGACCACAAGCTATATCTGTTTGAGAACAGCAGCTTTGCCGGCAGAAAGATGGAAATCGTGGATGATGATATTCCCAGCCTGTGGGTTCATGGCTTCCAGGACCGTGTGGCCAGTGCGAAAGTTGTCAATGGAACGTGAGTTGTTAACTTATGAACCCTTCATTTTACAAGATGGTCTTGATCTTTGATTTGTGTATTCGGAAAATTAAAACTTTTAATCTGTGAGAATGCATTAGATTGATCAAAAGTGACAGTTTATATTATAATGTTACAAAAAAATGCTGTTCTTTTTATCATCAAATAATCCTGAAAAAAAAACTATCACGGTTTCCACAAAAAAAGTGTGAATTATAGTGTGTGTGTTCCCCACAATCCACAGACAACTTAAGTCTGTGTTTTAATCCGTCTCTTTTGTCCACTTTCAAACACTTCTGTCCTGATTTCTTCGAGGGGAGGGTCTGTGAGCGGGTAAATGTATGGGGTTTTTCGGATCTTTCGATCTAATGGACAAAATAAGCTGAATTTACATATGAACGCGACCAGAGACGACGGAAAAACACACGGAGAACATCAGGTTTAGTTTCTGCTCTGACAGCCACAAGACCAGCCGAACGCTGTGAGTGTGTGTTAGAAATCAGGAATGGTGAGAGAACATTGTGCTTGGTATGTTTTTCATCTTCAAACCCAACTTGTGTCTTCAGCCGACAAAGTTTAAATCCCGTCTGGCTAGAGCTCTTCCCATAATGTAACTCATAGTTCAGTAGACGGTATTATGTGTCTGTTTGAACACACTCGACCACATGAGCGTTTATACTACGAAAGCAATCCGGTCGAATGTGTTTTCAGCTACCTCTGGAAGAGGGTGAAAGTGGACAAGCTCAAAGCGCTTTAGACCCGTTTACTCCTGTATGTAGCGTCGTCCACTTGTGATCCGATCGACCAAAACACATTTTAATACCAGATGTAAACAGTGCCAAAGAAAAAAGTGGTTATTTTAAGAACTGTTGCCTGAAAGGTTCTTTGGGGGACCAAAAATGGTTCATCCGTGCCATCACTGTGCAAAACTTGCTTTTGGAACCGTTCTTTTTAAGAGTGTATTTCCTCAAGATATATTTTTGCTACTGAATTGCTATAGTGACCTTTTTCTGGTATTGCACTGACTGGATCAGATCCCATATTGGTTGTCAAACTCAAGTATCACTGCGATCTGTTTTCTCAGGTGGGTGGGCTACATGTACCCTGGCTACCGCGGCCGGCAGTTCGTGTTTGAACACGGTGACTACAAACACTGGAACGAATGGGGAGCCACAGAACCACAGCTGCAGTCCATCCGGCGCGTACGTGACATGCAGTGGCACAAACGGGGCTGCTTCCCCATCCCCGACCCGGCTCCCAAACCCAAACCCAACCCCATCCCCAATCCCAATCCTAACCCCAAACCTGCGCCCAATCCCGCCCCCAACCCCCCTCCCCCTGCCCCGTCCGCCAGCTGAAGGAGAGCGTCCCGCCCCGTCACCGATGACCTCTGCCCCACTCCTGCTCAGAGGGCCGCGAAGAAAGCTCGAAAGCAAAAGTGACTGCCTTGCATCTTGTGTGTCTATCATTGGAAATAAAGGCCTCGGCCCCATGGTTTGATCTCTGACCTTTGCCTCACGTCTGCTTCTATTTTAGCTCTGCTAGACTGATAATACGCTACTGCTCAAAAGTAGATTTTTTTTAATGCTTTTAAAAAGAAGTCTCTTCTGCTCACCAAGACTGCATTTATTGGATGAAAAATACAATAAAAACAATATTGTGAAATATTTTTACATTTTAAAAGAACTTTTTTCTATCTCAATAATAATTTATTCCTGTGATCAAAGCTGATTTTCAGCATCATTACTCCAGTCTTCAGTGTCACATGATCCTTCAGAAATCATTCTAACATGATGATTTGCTGCTCAAGAAATATTGCTTATTATTATCAAGTTTATTTCTTTTATTTCAATTCATGAAAATGTTTTTTTTTTTTTTTAGTTAACCATAATAACCCTGCAGACCCAGTCAACATGTGAGATCATGTGATGAGCACACCATTCTCATTTGTGATACTCTCTAATATGTGGGCTCATTGTGAGTTCAAATGTTGAGATGAGGTCACCGGGAGGACATTATACTTCCCGTTTCTCAACACATGGAAAAACGTGGATACCGCAGGATTTGTTAGCAAACCGATTGTGCCGAACAGTTGTGTTCTGGACTCATCGTGGAGTTGTTAAACTGGAGAAATGGTGAGTGGTCTCTTTAATTGCTATTCACATATGATATTATTAGGCTTTATGCCGAGCGTCACGTGACCAAGCCGGAAAACAGATCACATCGCTTCCGATTCAGGTCTTTTGTATGTGCTTCATGAAATTTTTTGCGGTTTTACTCAAGATAACTTAAAAGGAGCAAGCAAAATGAGCATAACCAATGTCCCTCGCATGTGCAGATTGATATTTAAAAGTTTTTTTAATTTTTCTTCTTCACACTATAACGTTTAGATATTTCAATAGCATAAAACACCAATAACAAAGTGAACTTAGTAGGTTAGCTGATTACCTTAAAAATCCATAAATATCGTAGTTAGTTCTTACGGCCGTTAACACTTTCTCTGACAAGCGGATGCAATGAGACCCGTTTTCCGGTTCGGTCACGTGACGCTCGGCATAGAGAGCCTAAGTCCCTCCCCTTCCGGTTGACCGCCATGGGACCTTATTTCGGAAAATTATTGTATGGTAGTCAATGGCGAGAGACAACAAATATTTTGATCTCGTTTGAATTGTGCCCTGAATTACACATATGATGTTTGTCAATTTAAAAGATACATTTTAAAGTCAAGAAAGTCGCAGTTTGATGTAAAACTGTTGAGGTATAAGACTTTGAAAATACGTAATTACAAAGACTACAAACCCAAAAGGCGCACATTTTCTCTCAACGAATGAAGCTAACTTTACTGAAGCTTACTTTACTGAAGCTAACGTCTGTCATTTTTTCTATAGTCTTACGTTATAATCGTAACGTTACGCCGTCATCCCTGAGTGTTTTGTACCAGACTGCACACACACGAGCAGCGGATCTCGCTCGTTGTTTCGCTTCCCGGGAGATGTAGTTCATTGAGCAATTTTCACATAAAACTAAATGTTACTCTTCTGTTTTATTACAAACTGCGACTTTCTTGACTTTCATAATTATCTTTTAAATTGACAAACATCATATGTGTAATTCAGGGCACAGTTCAGACGGAATAAAAAGATAAGTTGTCTCTCGCCATTGACTACCATACATATTTTTTCCGAAACAAGGTCCCATGAGCCGGAAGCGGAGGGGCGGGACTTAGGCTCTCTATAAAGCCTCACTGTGTTAGCAGAAGGCACATCTGAACCTGCCATCAGATCTTGCCAGCTCAGGTTGGGAATCACCTGGCTTCAGTAATCACACTGATTGCATTGACATATTGCTCTCTGTGTTTCAGGATGTGAATACATCTGATTATGAAGGTAAAATGAGTTGCGAATGGCTCTTTGTGTTGACTTCACGTCGTCTATATTTCTAAAATCAATGAATAGGCCAGCTATTGTCCATATTGGTGTGCTTGTGTGTGAGTATTTCTCTTCATTTCCTTTCATCATGTTTATGTCTTTCCTGTCTCTTTGTAAGTCATTCGCTCTTGGCAGGAGTTCAGCTGAGTCATGTGAACGGAGAACAAAGCGTGGAAGCCTCCAAAAACAACTAAATAACTCCCGTGTGATGTGGCCAGGGCTTGGCATGGTTTGGCACTGCTATCAGGGCTGATGATGAAAACAATCTGGCAAGCTTCCACTGCCGGTCCAAATTGCCTATCCATGGCATACCTATGAGGTTACCAAACCAGATAGGCCTCTCTACACCTTGTCAAACTATTGGCCTACAGGCAGATTTTGGTAAGAAATTGGCAGATGAGACTCTGATCACTGTAGATGTTGAACGAAATATTTTGCAAGCTATTGTGAACCTCACATTATTGTGCAACAGACCGTTATTGATAAAACGTAACATTTTGCAGATTCACTAAAATATGAACAAACTAAACCCCAGCTTTGGTTTAGTTATTTTAATTAATTATTAATACACTGTAAAAACTAATATTCTATACTAATTTCAATGAACTCAAAATTTTAAGGCAACTTGGTAACTTGCTTAAGTTAAACCAACAATATATTTTTTACAGTGTATTTAATATTATTTATTATTAAAAATAAATGTTATGTTAAATATATATTAGGGCTGTCAAACGATTAATCGCGATTAATCGCATCCAAAATAAAAATTTGTGTTTACATAATTTATGTGTGTGTACTGTGTATAATTATTTTTAATAGGCTACATAAATACCCACACATGCATGTGTATTTAAGAAATATTTGCATGTATATACTGTATATAGACTGAATGTAGCCTAATGTATATTTTATATAAATATAAACATTTTATATATAAAGAACATATTTTTCTTAAATATATACATGTGTGCATTTATATACAAAATAATTATACACAGTACACACACATATATTATGTAAACACAAACTTTTATTTTGGATGCGATTAATCGTTTGACAGCCCTAATATATATATATATATATATATATATATATATACACCAAACCTGATTATTTTATTAAAAATCCACATTTTCTATTCTTTTCTTTTGCTGTATTATCTTGTAAATGACTGAGAACATTATTTTCTCTCTGAAGTGGTTTGTAGATGGTGCCGCAAACAACCTCTGTGTAAAAGAGAACAGATGTCTGACATTTATTGAAATGAGTTTTTAAATAAATGCTTTGGTTCTAGCCTGATGTGCCGGCTGAGCTGCTGGGTTTAAGAGGAAGGAGAGGTTTTCCGTGAACTGACTGCAGTTGCTAAAAACAGCAGAAGAACAGGAACATATTTTCAGAGAATCATTCTATTTTAGAATCAAATGATTTTTTGACATGTTTCTCCAAGCACTTTTATGTTTCTTGTCATCTGTCTGAGAAGGTTCACAGTTATCCAGGTCACAGGTTTTTCTTATTTTTTTAAGTTAGATGTGCTCTAGACTGTTTCTCAGAATGTTTTGTTGGCTTCGGCAGTTGTGAAATTATGAGTTTAGTAAATTTCCTGGCATTTCAAATCATTACACACAACATGATGTCATATGAGAGTTTCTTCTACTTTGCTGTCCTGAAAACAGCATGTGTACTGCGAGTCAATCTACAAAACTAGTGTACATTCTTTCTTTCTTTCTTTCACTTTTTTATTTAGCATTTTTAATAAAATGTTATGGTCTGATTAAATAATGACTGAGAAAAGAGATGTTGAATATAGTGGCTGATGGAATATGGAATACCTTATGGAATACCTACTTCACACTGGAAACCAATCAACATGATGTCAGTATTATGTAATTAAATATTATGAATTACATTTTGGCAATTAAATAGGTTAAAAAATATATAATTTTGGCAATTATACCAGCTCATCCAGGTATTTCATGTATTATACACTATATACTGTTTTTTATGTTTTATAAAGAAGTCTGCATTTAAAAAATACAGTAAAAACAATAATTTTGCAAAATATTTTTGCAATTTAAAATAACTGTTTTAGTAATATATTTTAAAATGTAATTTATTCCTGTGATCAAAGCTGAATTTTCAGCATCATTACTCAGTCTTCAGAGTCACATGATCCTTCAGAAATCAATTTGATGATCTGCTGCTCAATAAACATTTCTTATTATTATCATATATTATGTTGAAAACAGTTGTGCCACGATACATTTTATTTTTCAGGCTACATTATAAATGTCACTTTTGATTAACGTAATGCATGAATAAAAGTATTTAAAAAAAAATCTTACTAATCTGAAACTGTTAAATGGTAGTGTACAGCACATACTCCATATTTATATTATGATTAATATGCTATTTCTTACAATGTTTGATAATTAATTATATAAAAGAAACCAGTTATGCAACAAGGAAATCGTGTCTTAATTCAGTATTAAAATTTGTTTTCGAGTACAGGAATAGCACATGTGACCGCCGCTCACTTCAGAGATGGAAATGAACATGTGAATTTAGAAGATTCCCAAAGATCCCGAAGCTTTCAGCAGCCCGTTCACAGCTGTTGATGGGATATCCCAGTGTCTAATCATAGCCAACAGCTCCCCATTACGGGCCAGCACACCAACACATAACCAGCATAACAGAATGATGATTAAAGGATATCTTCACATAAAAAAAAACTATAGGGAGACCACTGAAATTCATTTCATATCTGTTGTCGTTGCTGGAATTCTGTATGCAGAATCATAACAGCATGTGTAAGCTGTTGTGCAATAATGCTCTGATGACTCAATGTATAAATACGGGGTGACGTTTCATCTGAGGGCGATTACAGCTTTCCACATGAGCTAAACACCTGCAGAAGCAAAGACAGCACATTTATCATGAGATTCCCATGAACTAATGCAGATACTGTTCATATATGCATAACTTTAATCAAGTTGTGTTTCTGACCATATAGGATTTCTCATGAAAAATGCTCAATTTAAATGCATTAGATATTTATTAGTATTTTGATGGTACACTTTAT